AATATATATATATATATATATAGATAGAGAGAGAGAGAGAGAGAGGGAGGGATTCACACATTCTAAAATTAAACAGGAATTTAGGCATATTCAAAGGGTAGAGTTTCCATAGAAAACCTTCTACAAAGCCTCTACAACTCTAATCATGGTAAATAACGAGCCCAAAACTATCAGATCTCTTTGGTAATATAACACATGGAAAAATATATATATATATAAAAAAAAAAAAAAAAGAACAAATTCCCTATAAAAGAAAATCTCATTTCTTTTTTCATTTCTCGTCTTGTTGAGAAAGGATACAAGCATGTCAAAAAATTCTGTTTTTTAAAATCTTTCTCATTATACTTCCATTTAGTCCAAAAGGCTTTACTAATATACAGTAAATATTATTAGTCTTATTATCAATATTATTATTTTGTTGTTTTTTTTATTTTTTGAATTTCTTTCACCAGCCTATTATATGCACACACATATATATATATATATATATATATATATATATATATATATGTATGTTATTTATAATAAAAGTATTTTGCAAAGAAATTTTTATTGAAAGAAAGTAATAAAATTAATATTTTAGCACAAACACTAAGCAAGGACTGCTGCCTTTGTGTCTAAATAGCATTATTTCAGGAGTGAATTTGTTTAGAATACATATATATTGTATTAATTCTCAGCACTCCCTATTCTTCATGTGTAGTCACATCAATGTAAGCATTAATTTAGTCATGCTAAAATCAACCAGTCTCTTGTGCCATGAACAGGTTAATAAGAGTAGATAGGTTCACCTATTATCCAGCCCACACTCCCATCTTTATTGAACGGGTTTATCCCGGTTTCCTGTTTAGAATATAGCTTACTGGTTCTGTTGAACTGAACCCTTTATTTTGCTCACTGGGGTAGACTGTTCTAGTCAAAGACACATGGCCCAGTAGATAAAGGTGTTATTTAGATCCAGTGACAGGACCTAAAGAGTATGAGTTCAATACCCGGTTAAGGCAGTGGAGAACTTTCAGAGGGAAACTGATAACTGACATCCATTAAAACATGGCACGTGGAACTAGAACAGTCTACTCCAATGAGAGAAATAAAGGGTTCAGTTCGATATTCCAACCACCTGAAGAAGGCCGGAGCGTACAATGGCCAAATCGTTGTAATAAATATGGCGACAAAGATGAGGACAATAGTCCGAATAATGTAAATTATGTACATAATACCTCATCTCAGAAATATAGACAGATACTGAAGTATATAAATGGCTCTCTCTTTTATCTGCAAACATTTTTATAATTGGTGATTTTAATTCCATTCATGTCAAGTGGCTTAAGTATTACAATGTTACTGCTGTTGACAGTATTCAGAACTTCAGTTTTTTTTTGTTACTCATTCTCTTACTAAAATGGTGGATTTTCCTACACGTTTTCCTAATAAATATGATCAACATGTTTCTTTCCTTGATTTGTTTCTTATTTTCATTCCTAGCTTTTGTCAAGCATCACAACTCTTTGCAAATCAAATCACACTGTTGTATCTATTGATAATTCTTTCCTATTGAGTGATATGCATATAATGCCAATGGTTTCTGATATCATCTCTAAACATGAGAACCTAATGGTAGCCATGCCATAGTTCTTAAGAAATGTCCTCCTGAACTGGCTCCTGTTCTCATAAAAATTCTACAATACAATACTGGCTGCTTCTTGCTTTCACTACTTGTTGGGAATCCTCTTCTGTGGTTCCAGTCTTTAAGAACTCAGGTGAATAGTCTGATCCTTCTATTAACATTGCTTGGGGTGAAATAATTGAAAAAAATACAGAAGAGGGAGGGCTAAAAAGTAATCAATATGAAGAATGAATTTAATCACCCAAATAAATTTTCAAAGTTTTCTTCCTATATATTTGAACCATTCTAATAAAAAATCATGAACCCATATTTTTATATATATATATATATATATATATATATATATATATATATATATATATGTATGTATATATAAAATCTTTTATGTGCAACAGATATATATGTTTTGAACAATAAAAATATTAAAAAATTAAAATTTTCGAACACAATGGGTTGTATATTAATATTTTTTTTTGTTTACTTATTTAAATTAGATTCCCCAACTAGTTTTGGCCAGCATGGCCATCATCAGGAGAAAAAAAATTTCTGCTTGTTAGTAGCAGTAAACTACAGGAATAAATGACTTGATGAAGAAGAACTTTATCTGTAGTTTTCATTTGTTTGTTTATTGTAAATTTTGGTCAGTCCTTGTATTGGTCAGTCTATTTTAAGTTGTTATTTAAGATAGAGGCTGGATATATTCAGACATTGCACTGAGGAGCTGTGATACAGTGAAACAGCACTGTCTGCAAATGACATAATTGAGCTCTTGATAATTATTTCAATTGAGCACTTTTAAGAGACAGCTTAATTCTACAAAGAGCATCCACCTATGCTAAAAAGGCAAAGCTCTTCAGTAAAATGAATACGAGCTGACTGGCATTTGTTTACATTCATAAAAACAATACGCTAGAATTAGCAGTTTCTCTCTGCTGAGTGCCAATGGCTTAGCGGGTAGAAATTCCAACTGACACCAAATTGAAATGGTTTTGATCCTGGCTTGAGGCTTTTGGATGTCTAGTAACACTAAGGAGCTGTGATACACCAAAACAGTATTGTATGCGAACAACATTATATATATATATATATATATATATATATATATACACACACGAGTTTGTCGTTGCTTTAAAATTTTTCATGCAACAAAAACAGACTATTATTATTATTGTTTTGTCCGTGTATTGTTTGATATATTGAAATGTAATTGTCATCTTTGATAATGGCATATGTAAGCCAAAAGCTTAGATCGGATTTAAACATGTACCAACATGGTGATTTCCTTTCATCTTTCAATGATAATGTTATTAAGGTTATCAGACAATATGAAAGGAACTTACTTAAAATAAATAGACACAATTTGTCTATATTATTTAATGAAACATGCATCAATATATATATATATACACACACAAACATATATACACATATACACACACACAGACACACAATCTTTTGTGTGCAACATTTCTTTGAACTTTGGCATTACACAGAGATACTCTAATCTTAGGTTAGTAAGTAATTCTCTCATTTTGTGTTATATATAACACAAAATGAGAGAATATATATGTGTTGTGCATAAAACATCATGTATGCGTGTCTCTCTCTCTCTCTATATATATATATATATATATATAATGTATGCATGTATGTGTGTGTGTGTGTGTGTGCATATGTATATATGTATGTATTTGTGTTTGTATATATATATATATGTGTGTGTGTGTGTGGGTGTACACGATGCGATGGGTAAATTGTCACCACTTGATATTTTTAATTTCACGCATATACATTGTTTGCTTTTGCTTTTGGCAACTGCACATTCTAGTAGGGTCAGTTGGGCAATGTCTGTGAGAAAAAGAGTACCATGACGCAATTCACTCCATCAGAAATTTGAAAATGGCATGCTCTACTGCTTGGCATTTGTGCTGGAAGCTCCAATATGAACATTCCAGAGTGTTTGGGTGTCAATTTGAGGACAGTGTGGAAGACTCTAAAAGAGTTAGATGAGTCAAATGATGTTTACGAAGGTACGACAACACAAAAAATTCATTCTGATTGTTCTGATAAGAAAAGAACTCCTGTATTTGTTGGTGAGGGCCTCAGACTCAACACCAACAGCAAGTGCCTTGGGTCAAGAGGGTGGTTGCTGGAAGACCAATCTCTGGCAACAGGACTCTTCATCATGCCACATAAGCAAGAGAACCCAGTCATGGCTGTCAGACAACTTCTGCAACCACATCACCCCTTACATCTGAACACCTAACTCCCCAGACTGCAAACCACTTGACTATTATGTGTCGAGTGCAGTTGAGTGAGAGACAAACAAAATTCTATGTAACACCAAAAATGAACTGAAATCAAGGATTATAGCAGCATTCATTAATTTAAACGAGGCAAACGCCCAAAAGAGTTGCATGAGATTCCAAGTTCATTTGGAGGCTGTGGTTGAAGCTAATAACGATCTTTTTGAATAAATTTACTCTTTAGTATTTCAAGATATTTTTGTGTAATTTTGGTAAATATATCTGTTAAAATGAGATGTCAATGTTATTTTCATTTTTGTCTAATTTAGATGACAATTTATCCATCGCACTCTGTGTGTGTGTGTGTGTGTGTGTGTGTGTGTGTGTGTGTGTGTGTGTGTGTGTGTGTTGTGTTTTTTTGTGTGTGTATATCTCAATAAAAGTTTTATTAAAATCTACTGGCAAGGCCTGTCTATTCAACTTTTTATTATATCTTTCCAATTCTGAAAAAAGTGTTGTACATTGTGAATAAAGTTATGAATAAACTGTTGAAAGTTCATGTTTTATTCTACTGCTATATTCAAGTACTTGTGACTATCACAGTCATTGTCAAAAACTGAGTGTTGTCAGTATGGTAAACAAGATTTTTTTTTTCCACAAATTTCTGGTGTATTTTAATTCTTGGAATTAGAATTGGTTCAAAGTAATGTCATGTAACAGTTAAGTGGAACAGCATATATCAAATATCTATAAATTTATTTCTTACACTCTCTTCAATATACTATCTCCAGTGGAGAAAAATATTTCATGTAGGCTCTTTTGTATTAATGGCTTCTAGAACTCTTTAGAGTCTTTCTTTGCAGTAATGCATACATGTTAAATAGCAGAGTAAATTGGGCTCTTTAGTCTGGGGAGGGCAGCAAGTCTAGGAGAGGGATGGCTCTGAATTCAAAATAGTCTACCAACACATTATGGGTCACTATGACAAGATAAGGATCATTACTTTTCATGTCAGACAGACTTAGAAAAGGTCGACATCTTGTAGCAAACTGAAAAATGTCTTATCACTGCATATATAATAATTAATTACAGTTGGTTTAAGAAACAAACATATTCAAATAACATACTTTATCTTTTTCCAATTGAGTTGGACTGTTCAAAAAATGATTTTTGTTTGCTCTTTCTTCGGTACCATCTGTATCTTCATAGCATCCATGCACAATCTGATGAAAAAAATAGAAAATAATTTAATTACTTATTTTAATATAAAATTCTGGGTGTCTGTGCATAAAACAATGGATATATAAAGATGACCATAAGGTAAGTGGCCAAAACATTGTGTAATAAGATTTATGATAATCAAGATGAGAACAACAGTATCAATAAATCAAATAAGTCAACATTTATTACAAATTCCTTATTTCAAAGTTTAAAAACAATTATGGGCACCTGAAGATACTCAAGATGTATCTGGTTGAAATGCTATGTCTATAATAACATTTATGATAATCAAGATAAGAACAATATTTCAAATAAATTTAAGTAATTTCTCATCTCAAAAGTGAAATACAAAAAAAAAAATAACCCAGAAAAACTATCAATACTAATCATTAACAATTGAAATATATTCAATAACAGTTTAACTGTGGACATGTGCTATTGATGAATCATGGGTACTACATAAATTGTCTGGTCTTCTCATAAAAAAATAGGGAAAATTATGGAGGAGAATATTTTTTGTAGATTAGCATTCATGAAACCTTCCTCAAGCCACAACATTTGTCAGAATTGAAAAGTACTGATTTTTTTTTTAATTTTAGAAGGGGAGTTGTGTTCATAAGATAAAGTGTCAAATTGATCCTCTTAACAGAGTTAGTGGTACTTTCTTTTTATTTAAATATCTCAAGTTTGAAACTGTGCTTACATTAATGGTAACTTTATACTACCAATGATGTCCTGTCTCAGTTCATAATAGTATACATTTATCAATGTGGTTCTACAGAAGAATGCTGAGAATACCATAGACCAAACATGTGAGCGACAACAAAGTTTTAGAGAAAATGAAAACAGATAATTATATTTAACATTGAGAAGAGAAAGTTGAAATTTCTCAGGCACATTTATGAGAAAAGAGGACTTGAAAAAAAAAATCAATTGAACTTGAGTAAATGGATGGTGGAACAAGGTTTAGGAGAGATAACAAAAGAAAAAAATTAGTAAGAGCTACAAAGGACAGGAAGTTGTGGAGAGCTATGATCGCCTATGTCCTGAAAGAACATGGCATATAGTAGAAGCAGTTTTCAATTTGACATGTGTAAATAAAAAGAAATTACATATAACTATTTATGAAATCAGGGATCGATTTGACATTGTATTTATATTATGAATAGAACCCCCTTCTAAACTAAAGTGCTAATGTGGATTTTGCCAGAGAAGACATGAAAAAATGACCACTGAATGAGGGAGCATTCTAATCAGGATATCCTTTTCTGCCTGTCAAGCACCTAATACTTTGGTGTAGGAGCCCCAACAATTTGCAATGCTAGAAGTGATCAGACAATATGAAACAAGAAACCTTGTAACTTTTTCAAACCCAGTAAATTTAAAATAAAAAAACCTTGTTTCTTATTAAACCTTTTTTCTCTCTTCATTGTACACCTGAAAAGAAGAAAGAAAGAAAAAAAAAACTCATCCAGAGAACATTGAGTTGTACTGTTGTGCTACTAACACCACTAAAACAGTACACTGTTATTCTGGTATTTCGTGCATGACCAAATTGTTGATTAATAAATAAGGTATCCCATTATATTAGTATAAAAAAAATTCTATGGAAATGAAGTAAATATGTTTCTCTTCAAAATGACATGAGTTTGATTAATAAATGAAGGCTTGAATACTACAAAAACTCATTTTCATGGATTGTCAAAAAATAAAAAAGAACTATGTCAATTTTTTTTTTAATTTCAAAATCATATTCTTGAAAATAACCAATGGTAGTTGAATACATTTGAATATATACACCCTTGTGCAAATTAATTGAAACAACTGCTTTAGTTTCCTTTCTTTCACCATATAACTAGTTTTAGCTGCACTAGAGTGACAGGGTGTAATCGATTTCTATTTTTCCTCAGATTAGGTCATTTGCAATGGTGTGCAGTAATATGAATCTATTTTCAGTGTGCATGATGAAATTTGTTTAGCCTTGTGTCATCCATGACTGCATCAAATTTTCATCATGCCCAGACACTATTGTCTCAACTGTTGATTAGTTGTCCTACAGCCATTGTCTGCAATGGACATTACTCCAAGGAAAAAAAATTGTAATGCTGCATGAATACAATGGCAAGCCTTACCAGTGAGCAAATCAAAGTACTATCAACTGGCTTGGAAACTCTCCTGATTTAAATCCAATTGAGAATCTGTGGTCACTCCACAAGGAAAGACCTTGCAGACTAGACATACAAAGTACTAATGCACTGGGTCATGTTTCATTGGATAAATATGAAAAACAAGTAAATAATAACAGAATTATTCATTTTGTCTCAATTTGTACAAGGGTGTGCATATAGACAATTTAGCTGACATTTTTTTTATAAACCTGCTTAAAAACCTATATGGGAGAGAGAACAAGACACATACATTATGTGGACGTAGGCATCAACACTATATAGTGACTATCAATTTCATGCTTCAATACAATTTTCAGTCAGAGATTGCATTAAATCTTATGTCGGCACTATCTGAATTTATAAATGCTCTCTCCAATGTTGAGCATTCCTCCCATATAAATATAGTGAATTTTAAACACACATTTTTAGTTGAACAGTCATGGACAGAATGTACACCTTAAAGAGAGATAAAGAATTATTATTATCTTATTATAATTCTACTTGTTCCTCCCTTAGTTCCTTTGTTAGCAATGTATGCTACATCCTGCTAGTATCTTTATAAATAATGGACTACTCCATTTTGCTTGCTTTGCAAGATAGAAAAGATATATCAGAGATGCTACTTGGTTTCAGTGAGCAAAGAAAAGAAAGAAAAAACAAAATTCAAGCAGAAAAGCTCTGAAATTTTCATGGGTACTACTAGTTATTATTAGTATTACAATATACTTTTTGTATTTATGCTTGTCTTGTTTGTTATACTCACAAAGTTTCACACATTGTACCTACAAAGTTTCTTCAACTGCCTGCTGTACCTGCTACCTTCTCAGAATTTTATGACATTGTAGATTATAGCCTTGTTTAAAGTATATCTGGTTTCCTGATATTTGTGAATTTAATCTCTGGGTCAAGTAATTCAGAAGTCATTTACTCTGTTTCAGTGGAAGAAACAAACAAGTAATGAAAAGGTAAAATTAGCTGGAGAGAATTAACTGATACATGATATCCATCTCAACATGGAAAGCTGAATTAGAACAATCTATTCTACCCTCATAGATTGATTAAAATCTGCAGTTCAAAATTCAAAGACATTTATTGATTATGACAGGCACCTGAAGAAGGGCAGTGGTACAATAGCTGAGCATAACAACCAAGATGAACATAGTCTGACTAGAATAACATTAAGCTAAATGTGTGTGCATATATTATATATATTTCAGTTGTATGAATATTAGTTTGTAATCTAGGGTTTTATGCTTTTGTGATCATTAGACAAACTGGTTTATTTTTAAAAAAGTGGATCTATGTTTAATTATTTGTGTATGGTGGAGGGTGAGTGTACCGCATATATATATATATATATATATATATATATATATATATATATATATAAGTGAACATTGAAGTCAACACTCAGAGGCAACAGGCTGTTTCATGCTGGTCAGAAGCAAGTGACTACAGAAACAAAGGGATAAAATGAGACAGTGAATGACATGCCTCAAAGCAGATGATGACCAAAGTAATCCCCACAGTGCACCAGGATGATCCCACTCAAGGTGACTGGTGTGTAAGCAGAGAAGTTAATACATGGGCTGATGCAAGCTGCCTGGCAATGTATGTGGTGTTGGGAAGACATGATGCTATTCTGGAGTACACATGCTGGCTTTCTCCAGAAAACGACGCCAATCATATCAATCTGGCAGAACTTCACACCAAATTAAAGGTCTTAATCTCACATCTTGATTGCGTCAGAGCAGAATTTAGCAGATAGGCTAACTTGAGTGCAAAAAGGTAGCTTGCCATGATCAAAAGAAGGTCTGATTCATTGTCGCTGATGTGTGCCGTTTTAATGGGCCAATTATCACCTGAGCAGATTTGAACCATACACCATGAAAGTAGACATCATGGCCTTTCAGGATACAGCTTACTTTGCCCAAAGAGTGTTACCCTTGACTAAAAAAGCAATCATCAAGTCAGCCATACAATATTGGAAGGAATGTCAGATGGTAGACACCCCCTTCAGTCTATTGGCAAAAAGGAAAACCTGAGGTGGATTGCAATTGATGACAGTTAGGCATGGACATCACACACTACAATGGCATGCATTTCTTAACAGATTGTGATCAGATGCTTTTCACCATTTGGCATCCACTGACATACTAGGATGCATCAGCTGTTCTACGATAGCTACAGGCAGTATTTTGTAAATGCAGTCCATTGGTCAAGATACTGGTGAACAATGCCCTGACCTTGTGTAGATAAGACATTCAGGCTTTTGCAAACAGATGGGGAATGAGGATGCCATACTGATGTGCCTACATTCTAGAGGGTAATGGTATCACCATTAAAAGAATTGCAACCAGAACACAGTACTCTATTCAGGAAGTTGTGTATTGGTACAACATAACCCTTGAAGATGTCTCCACACTATCAACTGCACTAGCCAATCAGATTTACCAGTACGAACAGCATGTGTGAAAGAAATAGATGCATCACTATTGCCTCCTAAAATTGTAAATAAACAGTATCAAATGAGAGATGATGTCTCAGTCAAGGTCCCACATAGCTGATGTACCAGCAGATTCAGCATAAGACAAGTTGATGGGATACTTAGCCCAAAACAATGGAAGCTGACGACATGTGAAAGACCTGTGGCCACGGTATGAATCTTCTAATTTAGAAGATGGCAGAAATAGTATGTCATCTGTATAAGACTCAGAGACTCTGTTGTTCTTGAGAGCAGGGTCGAAAAGTCTGCCTGCAGACCCAGAGGATGACAACAATACCAGAAATGAGGGAGACCAGAACACAGGCAAGGGAGTGATGCTGATAAAAATATCCTTTCCTCATCTATGAAGAAGCACTTGCCAATTGCAACCTCCATGAGATGTATGTGATCATGAGATCACTGGATAAAATGGCTTACCTACAGAATGAAAACAGATTCAGACATGTCTTGTATTTAGGGTGTCCAATATAAAGCACATGGAAATTTCATGAATCATACATTTAACATTGATCTTGATTGAGTTGGATAGACTGTCATGAGAATCTCATATGTAAATTTTAACTGTCAATCAAGCTACAAAAAGTGGCAACACCAAGATGAGGCGTCACTCTGTAGAGAACAGGAGACACGTGTTTCAGTCAGTGTTTGTGGATTGTGTAACTTAAGTTTTGTACCGCTAGTCTGTTGATTAAAAGAAACTGATTACAAGCCAGAAGAAACTGACTATGAGAGGAAACTACAGTATGAATACATTTGTATATTTATACACATGAACTGGAACCAAATAAGAATTAAAATTTGACAGAATGATAGAAGAAAAAACAAATAGGAAATGTTTATAAATTTAACATGTTTTGATTTTATTTAAGCTTCATCAGAAATTTTTGGAAATGAGTTATGGAAGAGAATATTCTGCTACTTTTGAGTTCTGTGTTTTTCATTAGTCAAGTAGATCTCGTGTGTGTGTGTGTGTGTGTGTGTGTGTGTGTGTGAGCTGAGATTTTTGTGTCTGTCTGGTAGTGTTCATGTGTTTAATTCCTGAAGATAGTAGTGGGAAGAACATGGGAAAGATGTGACTGTATATGTGCGTGTCAAATTTCTAATTTATAGTCTTACTGGAGTTAGTTTTATCAGTACATATGCTGACTGGTGGTTAGACGTATGCTATAAATCCTGGGGTAAATTCTATGGTTGATCAAAAGGTGGAGTGTTGGTTTAATTCTATTATAAATATTATTAATGTTCTTATATATAGCCTCATAGACCACAAAGAAAGTTGGTTATCTGTGTCACTCCAGAAGGTACTTCAAAATCTACAAATCAACCATTCGTCCATGCATGGAATACTATGGTCTGGTGTTCCCGCTGTTCATCTTGAGGTCCTAGACAAAATCCAGAGACAGATATGCAATGTGGTTGGTCCTATTCTGGCATCTCATCTGCAGTCGCTATCTGACAGATGTGCTGTGGCTTTCCTCTGCCTTTTCTACATGTACTTTCATGGCAACTGCTCCGATGAGTTACTTCCACTTGTTCCCAAATTGCATGAAATTAAGCATGCTACTAGGTCCCACCATTTCACTGTTAGAATGACTAAATGAGGCCATCTCTTCTACTCCACCTCCCATCAGTGGAACTCCCTTCCTATCACTTGCTTCCCTAATAGCTATAATATTCAAATATTCAAATGTAATGTCAATTGACATCTGATGCCTTTATCTTTTTCCCCAAACACTCCTCTTTACTCTTTCTCTCTGTAATCCCTTGCATGCTAGTGACACTCCTGCCTTGCTTGGGGCAAATTGCTTAAAAAAAAAAAAATATATATTTTTGAGTCTATCAGGGGATGTTTGGTGTGTTGGAGTGAAAGACTTCATTTACTTCGTCTACAGCTGTCAGTCCTTTGATATTCTTTAAGTATAAGTTTTATGAATGTTAGTGATATGAAAAAGTGTGCATGACATGTGTTTATCAATGAAAGGATATTGATTAATATTCCCTCAAAATATTTTCTTTGTAATGAAGCATGTTCTTTTTTTCATTGGGGTTGTATTTTTTAAATCAAAGTTATGGCCTGTTTTATTTGTGTACTATGAGAGAGTTCAGTTGGTTGTCTCAGCAGAGGTCTCTTTTGTGTTTATAGATGCATGCTTTTAGCATTCTGGAAGTTTTACCTATATAGCTCTTATGTGCTGCTGGTTCTGTGTTTTCTGCTAACTAGATCACTGATGATTGGTGGTGATTATGATCCTAGTGTCAGAAATGGTTAGATGATTCTCAAATTTATACATGTATATACATATTTCTTTTATAATGATAATTTAAACTCTGAAAAGCCTTAGCAAACTCATACTTACTTTTTTTATTTGAGTGATTGCTTCTTTGAGACTCTGGTAATCTGGCTGATTTTCTTCTGTTTTTTCAAGTAAACTTGACAAATATTGTTCATACTCAGGAATTCGTTGGTACTGAAAAGATAAAAAAAAAAAAAAAGAAAACACAATTAAAATCTTCTCCAAACCAAAAGATGGGGTGTCTCTCCAAAATCATATTCATGCTTTGAATGATTATAAAGTCAGCACCTGTTACCAAATTGATAAACAAAAAAAAAAAAAAGGAATTGAAAATAGAGTTATCTGCTCTTAAAATATACACACATTTTCTTTGGATATTATCACTGAATAATATAATCTTATTGTGTCTATTTATTTTTATACTGATCCTTTCCAGATGTCTAATCAGTTTCTTAATACAAAGATGAAATTCATCAAGGAAAGCGTGCAGTTTTTTTTTTAACCCAAGTACTTTCAATCTTTTCCAAGATCATCTTCAGGGGTAAATTACAAAGACAAACTTATTAACGTGTATATAACAAACATTTAATGCTATTTTACATTTCTATCAATTTCTGGCCATCCCCCTTATGTTGAAATGCTTGTTTTGCAAAAAATTCCATAACTACAATGGATAAATTAAAAATTTTATAATAATTATAACAAGATACACTCATGCAGGTTTTTAAAAATCACCATCACAACAGAATGCAGATTTTATCACAATTACAATAAGTTTGAAGGGTTTGAATTACTTAATAATTTCACTGTTTCAGCAAATAAAAAAAAACAATGATAACTCAAAAAATTGTACCAACTAAAAATAATGTTTTTACTCTTAAAAAACAATGTCGGATTCAAAAAATCTATATAGAAATTACTTGTTTACATTTTGGGTATAAAACTGAAGCTAGCAGATATAGATAGAAATTTTAATGACAGATGTTCATTCCTTAAATATATAATTCAAAACTTGCTTTATCAAGATGGTTTCCCATGGCCAAATTGGTAGTGACATGTTTCAGCTATAGAAGTCGTTTCCCTGATGGAAAAAAAAGGATATAGGTTTGATTATTGTTGGAGACAATCTTTTTTTTAGTGAGATTTTTTTTTTATGTAGGCTGATTGTTATTAGTTTCAGTGTTTAAGAAATTAAGATTACAACTCAAATATATAAACCCATTAAAATAATGTTTATAGTAATGAGAATTCCTGTTGGATGAGAAATTCATTCAGAAGAAAAATATCTAATTCATAAATATTCAAATAGACTTTTTATATATATATATATATATATATATATATATATATATATATATATATATATATAAGACATGTTTCATTGAATAACTTAGACAAGTTTTGTATACTTATTTTCAATTGGATCTTTTCTTATTGATGGACATATTGAATTGAGTACAATATGACACTGTCTTTCTGGAGTTAAAATGGAATAAAATAAATCCTTGATCATAATGAATTTATTATATATATTATATTATATAATATGAAAATATTCAGTATAATATTTAGTAAATATGACCCCGTAATACAGACATCTATATGTAATTTGTTTTTTTTTGTTTTTTGTTTTTTTTAATTCTACCATATTATCCATTAATATCTGAAGGTCGTGCATATATTTCACTAAAATATTTAATTTTCTGCCATGTTAAATAATAGAAATAAACTGTATGTTTATTTTGGTTTCAAAACTTATTTTCAGACAAAGATGCTTTGTTGTAATTAATGTCATCAAAACATGACAGATTTTTTTTTTCCATATTCCCTTTATTAATTTCTTTTTTTAATCAATTTCAGTGAATTTCCTGTCTTTGAAAAAAAGATTTTCAATTACAATCATTGCCAAAAAACAAATATGGCCAACTTATCAAATATCCTTTGTAAACAATTGTTATCAATAACTGCTTTCTTCATGATTTATTATCTATTGTGTTGAGTACATTTGTAATAGGAGGTTTTTAATGTTGAATAAAATTTGTTGAAAACGTGTACATGTGTATAATACATACAAGCCACCCCCATTTTTCATCACTATGAATGAAATACGTGTGACTATCAGTCAACATTCTGATTATACCTTTTGATAGCACTGTCTCTTGAAAAAGGCATACGTCTAATCCTCTTTATATCTTTTGTAGGCTTGTACCAGTAATGTAGTCATGTGACAATCAGACAATGTGGTATACAGACAATGAATTTTCTTCATTTTGTATCTCTCTCTCTCTCTCTCTATAGTATATCAGGGTGGGCCAAAAGTAGGATTATACTTGTTTCACTATTTGTTTCACATTTTAGATCTAACTTCACTGAACTGTTCTTTCAGCAAGATGAAGCACCTCTCCATTATATTTTGGCAGTAAGGGACTACCTTAAACAAACCTTTCAACAACATTGGTTCAAAAGAAGGAGCAGCATCTAATGGCTACCATGTTTACCTGACCTAATACCAATCGATTTCTTTTTTTGGGGTGTAGTAAAGAACAAGGTTTATGAGAGAAATCTCCACACAGTAGACAAATTAAAAGAGTACATCTCAGAAGTATTTATTGAAACTGGTGCAGATCAGGATTTGTGTCGTGCCGTGTGTCATAGTTTTCTAGAGAGGTTCAAGGAATGTTGCAATGTTGAAGGAGGACATTTTGAACAATTAAGAGATTAAACTGTGCCCCCCAAAATCTAAGTAGCATCTTAAACAAATGTACATAAAATGTTTTGAACAAAAATGATTCTAACAAATAAAATTGTTTTTAAAAAATGTAAAGTGCATACATACTAAGTGTAAGCCTAATTTTGGACCACCTTTTTGAGTTATTAAGTTTAAAGAAAGTTTACAATTGATGGTGCTGTGTTGCCATATAGACTAGGTTACATTTGTCATTCGTGTACATTTGTGACTAGTCTGTCTTTAATTTGTGTAGTAAGTTAACTGAAAAGTGTTCTGTTTAACAATGACAGGATATTCATATCATGAGCAAGCAAATATGATTTTTACATACAGCTATGCAAATGGTAATGGATGTGAGGCTGCATGGCTGTACCAGATTGCATTTCCAGACTGAAGGCAGCTGCTGTTTATTGTTGCATTGCGGAGACAGGATCTGTGACACCACAAACTATGGATTGAGGAAGACTGAGATCGACTCATACACCTGACTACATTCTTCAGGCTGTCGGAGGTGATCCAGGTATTAGCACATGTCAAGTGGCCCTAGCATGCTGTACATCCCATACTACTGCATGAAAGGTACTTCAAGAGCAGTTCCTGTATCCGTATCATTTGCAATGTGTGCAGGGTTATTTGCCCTCTGATCACCCACCACAAGAGAACTTTTGCCGATGAGTTATTGTACAAACTGCCAATCCCTTATTTGTCTCTTCAGTCTTGTTTATAGATGAGGCAACATTTGGAAGAGATGGAATAATACATTTACACAACCAACATTTGTGGGTGGATCGGAATACCCATGCTACAATACAGGCTAGACACCAGCATCTTTTTACGATTAATGTTTGGCTGGAATTGTAGGTGACTGTCTGGTAGGTCCATATGATCTCCCAGCATGTCTTACAGGAGCTGTTTACAGGGATTTTTTTGAACACACTTCCAGACCTTCTAGAGGATGTACCCCTGCTAATACGAAGATGCATGTGGTTCATGCATGATGGGGCACCAGCACATTTTAGTCATTTTGTGAGGCACTGGCTGACATCTACCATGAAAGATAGATTTTTATTTATGGAGCAGCTGGTTTAAAAACTAAAGCAACTGATTTATGTAGCTTACATTAATAATGCAGAGACACTTCATCAATGTATCGTGGGGCCCTGAGAAACCATTCAACACCATGTGGAAATAATTGAAAGGGTCCACCAGTCAATGATCCAATGGGTACATGCATGTGTAGAAGGAAGTGGAGGTCATTTTGAACATTTGTTATGAGTTGCTGTGTTGAGGTACAACGATGGCCTTTTCGACATCTTTATATGGACATTTTACCTTATTTTGGTGTCAAGAACCAACCCCCAAATTTTTTTTTAAAGTATTTTTGATACACCCTATATATATATATATATATATATATATATATATATATATATATATATATATAAATTTGCCCCAAACAATACCACTAAGACACAAGGGATTACTTAGTGTGAAAGAGAATGAAAATATTTTAGAAGGAATCAGAAAGCTGATCTTAAATAGAAAATAGGGGATAAGCCTATACTCCTGTTCTTAAAAGACCGAGGAGGGGTATCAACTGGACAATATGCAAACCTATCTATTCCTATTGAGGAGAAAAAAAAAAGAATAATTAGTTAATGAAATTTCAGAGTTCAGACAGACATGTTAGAAGTATAGAGTTGAAGTAGATTTTAGAAGGCACCAGAAATCTGATTCTAAACAGAAAACAATGGATAAACCTCTACTCCTGTTCAAAAAACAGAGGAGTACATGTGTATGTGTGGTATAGATATAAATAAAATGTAACTGCAAAGATAATATAAATTAAAGGGAATCTTTCCTATACCAACACATTCCTTCAATGCAAAAATTTTATTTTGTAACTTGTATTTATACACAGAAGTAACATGGAGAAAAAATACTCATTATTTTTCAAATTTTGAATTTGTGAATGCTTGATAATATTTATAAAGGTTAATGTATATGGAAAGGTAAACTATGAAGGATGCTAAAAAGTGCAGCTTATAACCTAATAAATGAAAGTGAGTTAATGTTATTGAAACTTATATATATATATATATATATATATATATATATAGTGTAACCCAGATATAAGAGATTTTCTCTGGTCCCAAATTAGAGCCTGTGTTAATGTATATAAAATAGACCAAACCCTGATATACGAGAAACCCGGATATAAGAGACTTCTTCTCCGGTCCCGGAAAGATGGTCCCTCGTGTGCTGCTTATAATATGTATATTTAATAGGCCAGTATATAAAAGTTGAGGAATAAGATCTTTTTCTTCATGCTTCAATTTAGTCAAAAGGCTAATATATCATAAATATTGTCAATATCCCTTAAATTTTATTAAACAGCCTATTAAATCTCTCTTTCTCTCTCCATATATATATATATAGGTAGGTA